CTTCCTTCCTTCCTTCCTTCCTTCCTTCCTTCCTTCCTTCCTTCCTTTTCTTTTCCTTTAGCCTCTCCCTTCCTTTCCTTCCCCTTCCCTCTCATTTAGCAACGGCAGTGATTCATTTAACAGACATGCCAAGACAAGTCGTAAAACGGGGCAGGACTCACTTAACAAAACAACTCCCTTAGCAACAGAAACGTTGGCCTCAGTTGTGGTCATAAGATGAAGACAGCCTATATCTCCTCCTCTCTCTCTGTTGCCTTACGGCCTCACTAAAGTTAATCTGGCTTGGTTTGAATATCAATTTAACCCAACCTTAAACTCAGAAGAATTTAGGACTGAACCGTTTTTACGTTAGAAAAAAAAAACATGATTAAAAAGTCCAGAAGATGAGAAATGCCAAAGATCACCTGTTCCCCCAGGGGGGGGCCTCCCTCCCTTCCACAAATTCCCAATTACCTTCACTCCCCCTCCTCATTTCCCACCAAATCCCTTCCCTCCCTCCTCTTCCTCTTCCCTTAATCAGAAAAAGCTTCCCTGCCTGGGGGTGGAAATAAAGAGCCGCCAGCCCAGCTCCGAAATTGGTGGCAAATTGGTGGCACTTCCAGGCGAAAATGAACCCGGTAATTTGATCCCCCGAAGCCGTGCCGCTAGATCACAGCCTCCGCGAAGGCGAGGGGGGAAAAAGGTGTATTTCGGCCCCTGGAAATTGAATTAACGCCGGTGACTACAAATTATCCCCTTTTTCCAAACGCGAAGGGAACTCCCAGCCTCTGCACCGCTTGCAGGATTTATTGTTCCCCCCCCCCCCTGAAGCCAGCCGGATATTATTCTATTTGGCTTTTTTATTCTGCCCTTTTTTTTTTCTGCCCCCCACCCAGCCTGGCCCAGTTTGAGCTGCAAAATATTTTAAGGGCAGGCAAAGAGATGTAATTGTTGTGCTATGTCTTTGAAAGAGAAAACCCTGTTCCGTAGTTTCCTCCTCCTGAAACCTTCCTGTGGGATTTCTCCTGGTTCCCCAAGCCCCGGATCAAGGAGGAAAAAGTTTAACACCCCCCCCCCCCCATCTACGGACAGTCCTTGACTTAGAACTGTTTCGTTTAGTGACCATTTCAAAGTTACAATGGCACTGGGGGAAAAAAGGGACTCAGGCGTTCACACTTACATCCGCTGCAGCGTCCCATGGGTTCACACGTGATCCGTATTCGGCTGCTTGGCGGCTGACTCACATTTACGACGGTTGCAGTGTGTCCCCTTTGGTGATCTTCTGACCAACAATGGGGAAGTCAGGTTCACTTAACAACTGCATTGATTCACTTAACAGCGGTGGCAAGAAATGAGGCCCCAAAGCTGACTTGAGGGGCATGCATGGGGGGGCTCCGCTGTGGCTTGGCTTCACCTTTGACCTGTCATCGTCTCCTCTCTCTCTCTGCAGGTGACTCTTTGCAGAAGCCCCACCTGATGAAGACCCAGACGTCGTACCTGGACAAGCTGACCGTCCACCTGTACCCTTCCCTGGAGAAGTTTGAGGAGGAGCTGCTGGTCCTGCTTATGAATGAGCAGGTAAGTCTCCCCGTGTCCCCTCCCTCTTTATCCGTGTTATTTCTCTCTCGCCTCTGTCTTTCAACTATCTATCTATCTATCTATCTATCTTATTTATCTTTCTATGTCTCTATATCAATCACCTATATAGTTATATCAATACCTATCTAACAATCTAGATCAGTCTGTATCTATCGCTCTGTCTTTTCCTATATCTTTTTAGTTATCTTTCCATATGTATCAATCTATATCAATCATTTATATCTAGCTATCTTTTTATTTATCTTTCTGTATATATCAATCTATATCAATCATCTATATCTAGCTATCTTTTTATTTATCTATTTTATCTCTGTCTTTTATTAATCTTTCTATGCCTATGTCTTTCTACAAATAATAATAATAATAATAATAATAATAATAATAATAATAATAATAATAATAATAATAATAATA